GCAAGAGATTTACTGCTAACACGATTAAAACTTCTGAAATGGAAAACTTCATCTTTTATCTTCATTATGAACATAAATTTAAAACAGATGTCAAGAAACAATGTTGAATATTTAAACACCTGTTCTAAGAAGATAACGCTAAATTTTGTAATTTTCTTTATATTTATGCTTATGGTAAAGAGATTATAAAAGTTGTTTTAGTTTTAGACTTTTTAGTTGCTTTAAGAAAGTAATTATTTTTGGTATACAATCAATTTTCGTTGATGAATTTTTATTTGAAAAGTTGCGTTATTTAAAACCCCATTTTATCTTTATAATTTTACTAAAAACTAAGCGAAGAAGGAAGAAAAAAAAACGTTGATGTAACGAATCAATTTTTACAACTAAATAAAATATCTTGCTATAATAAAATTGGAAATTTAAATATGTTAGACTGATTAATATTATAAAATACTATTATTGGAATCTGTTTAAATAATGAAGCGTAAGAATAAATTAAATTTCCGAAAAGAAAATTTATTGATTTCATAAAATAAAGAAAATACTGAAATCTTTAAATTAATTAAATAAAATAAAGAAAAGAAAATGTAATTGCATGCAATAGTTTTGAACATAAACTAGTTGCATGCAATAGTTTTTGTCATAAACTAGCCACCTTCAGCTACCAACTTCGTGAACTTACAAAATTTTCTTGACTGGCATATAAATTTTAAACGGTAACCAAACTGAATACTCAGCATAACTGTATAAGAAAACTATCCAATCCTGGCACCTTAATTAGTTTTTAACAATATATTAACCAAATATTGTCACCGTTCAGTTGTTGCCCGTAATGTGCTTTACTACTTTCTCGCTTACCTCTTTAGCCATAATATATATATATGACGGTGATATGGAACGCCGTGCTGGGTCTCAGCAGCCTCTCATCACTAACAGCCGAGAAGACAGACATATTATCCACATGGCCTTAAGGGATCGTACAGCTACGTCACGAACCCNATTTGGATGTATGGATTCTGAAGAATCAGTTCTCAGAGCAGACTCCTCTGGCAGCAATAACAGCAGTTATTCTCTTATGCATCGAGTCTTACAGCGATTGGATATAATGGGCTGGTACAGCATTCCATTCCATACAGCTTCAACGGTATGTCACAATTCATAGACCGTAGTGATTGACGAGTAGTGGCGTGCCAGTCATTCGTCAACCATTGACCAGACGTTTTCAATTGGTGAGAGATCAAGGGAACGCGCTGGCCAGGGCAATGCGGGCAACATTCGGTCGTGCATTGCCTGCTGAAACGTAGCGTTATGGATTCCTCGAAGATAAGGCAGAGCAACTCGCCCTAAAACATCAGAAATGTTAATGGTTGTTGTTCAAAGTGCCGGCAATGAAAACAAGAGGTGATCGAGACATGTATCCAATAGCACCAGACACCATTACTCCAGGTGATGGGCTAGTATGACGATGTCAAATGTAAGCTGCCTGTGATGCAGTGTCAAGGGTAGCCGAAGCCATGGTCGCCGTGCTGACAGTTCATGCTGCTTTAAACGTCGTCGAACTGTCCGTGCAGACACTTGTTGTCTTGCAAATGACCACATTTGTTGACTCAGGGTTCGTGACGTAGCTGTACGATCCCTTAAGGCCATGTGGATAATATGTCTGTCTTCTCGGCTGTTAGTGATGAGAGGCTGCTGAGACCCAGCACGGCGTTCCATATGACCGTCATGAACCCATCGATTCCTTATTCTGCTGACAGTAATGGGATCTCGACCAACGCGAGCAGCAATTCTGCGGTGTGATAAACCGCAATCCCGGGAGGCCACAATTCGACCTGGATCAAACTCAGACACGTGCTTGTAGGCAGTTCGCTTTCTTACACGGAGCATATTAAAAACGTTTTTTCCCAATGACAAGCGATCAAATTCAATTTCTGTATGAGAAACTTACTGTCAAATCTTTTCTTTTATGCACATTGTAGGTGTTGCTACCGCCACCTGCATTGGATGACTGAGCTGATAAGTTAACGATTTGAGTACTACAATAGACTTTATCCGTAATGCAAGCATAATTCACGTTCGTTGTGTGTACGATATATATATATATTGTATATATATATGTATATATATATATATATATACAAAATGAGACTGAGTAAAATTAAAATCTTTTGCGAAAAATCATGTATTTTCAATAACATTTTGAAGTCATTAAAGGTAATCCCTAAAAATGGCCAACTTCCTTTAACGCCCATTGTAGTGTACAAACAGAGAAAGGTCACTCTCAAGAAGTTTCACTGTATATATATTATTCTCTGTTTACTATATATAACTCGTTAACTATTTTAACTATTTCATTCACGAAAATCGTGAAAGTTAGTCTTCCAAAGGCACATTTATGATGAAACTCAGGGACGATTTTGAGCAGAGACTCTAAGATTTTAGAAATAGTTAGGCTGTAGCATTTAAATAATACGGTTTGTCTATTGTTTAATAAGCTTTCTTAGATAAAAGTCATTATGAAAGAAGTGAACGATTTTAATTAAATGATTTATTTCGAATATTATAAATTTTGAAACGGCCAAAAAAAGAAAAAAAAAAACAGGAAAAAAAGAGCTGCTAGTAGTCCAAATGAACAATATTTGATTAGTGTTTGCTAAATTACGCATGCAATTAAAGTAATAATAAAACAGATGTACTTCTTAAAAAAGAAAAAGTATCTAAAGAATGTCTGAAGAACAATCAAGAGATGCAAGAAAATGATTTCGTAAACTATTAAATAATTAAAAAGTGCGTAAATAATTTAACGCCAACTTTTACCTAATTTGTTGAAAGCATGGTTACAAGGAAATGTTAAAAAATATGGAATTTATTTCATTTCATTAAAAAGGGAGCTGTTATCACGTTTCTTCTCAATTGTGATAGTGCAAATTAATAGTTGTTGTCTGAAAATTATGGGACTTGATTTGGTTTATAGGAGTTAAGAGACTAATAACTCAAGTTTTGTTAAATGATAGGAATAAAACACTTGTCTTCCACCTCAATGATAACCATTTAAGATATGTTCCATAATGAATAAGGATGTTTCTATTTATTAATGCTAATGTTCATAATTATTTCAATAATAATAATTAACACATGTTTAATAAAATATCGAGCATTAAGATCAGTATAATGATCTTAACTCTGGATGAATTTACGAATTTCGTATCTCAAAAAATTACTTTTGTTTTAAAGAAAAACTTTTGCGCGTTACGAAAAACATAGTGTAATAATTTCATTTTTAATAACGACGGATGCTTTTTATTTATCAAAAATACTTTTGTCAAAATGAATCATCCTTTTTTGATAAGGGTGTTATTGATAAAGGTTCACAAAACATTAAAGTTTATAATATACAACAAAATATAGTTTTTCTTTATTTATAATTGAGGAAAATGTTAATTTAAAATAAAATGGCTCAGGAGATAGAGCGTTCGCCTTCCAATGAGGTGAACCGGGTTCGAATCTCAATGAAGGCTGGTCGATACGAATTCCGCATCCGGCGTGTATCGATCACAGCGCTGACGTTAAAATATCCTCAGTGGTAGACGGATCATGGGTTAGAGTCCCCTTGCCATGGGAGGTATTCGTGGTTTTCCTCTCCATGTAACGCAAATGTGGCTTAGTTCCATCTAAAAAGTCCTCCACGAAGGAAAAATTTCTCCCAATACTTGATCCAGGATATCCCTTGTCCTCTGGATTGGGTTCAAAATTATATGGTTACGGAGTTGAATATTAGCAACCGTAAACCCGAAAAATTAGGTCAGCTGTTCAACGACCACTATAAAATAAAATAAAATTGCAAATAAAACAGTTTTGTGCACAATATCAGTGAGATTATACAATGTCTGCCAAATAAGAGACTACCTCCGAAAAATGAAGAAATAGTGCTAAAGAAGGAAGAACAATTGCTCGTGCAATATTTATGTGTTGGAATAGAAGTCGATGGTTTCATTAGGATAGAGCCGCTGTCCATACATATGTGTCAACCATGTCTTTTCTTAAAGAGTTCTTTTGGAGTTGACCTGAACTTGTCATTTCCGGACTATTTTCTATGGAGATATTTAGAAAATGTTGGGTACGCAGATTGCCCGACAGCTGACGCCGAACTAGAAGCAAAATTTGAACAAGATATGAAAAATGTTTTCCCCAAAATTTTGATTCATGTCTTCGATAATAGCGTGTTTAGTTTGTCAATTAACAGATTACAAGAATTCAACATAGCTTGTAATTTATGTTCAATAAACATTCCTTGCTTTCTTATATCCATATTTTGCTTTTGCGAATTGGGAAATATAGAAGTTTAAATCGTTTTTAAGTATGTATGTTTTTGAAAGCAAATTTAATTTAATTTTGGATTTGAAATCAAAATTTGATTTTCAAAAGTCTGATAGAAGAGTTATCCTTTACTGCATCACTGTTTGTTTTAGGAGACACCTTACACCTTACTCTCTTGCAATTGGTTACTGCCTGATTAATTCGTAAAAGTTCGGGGCATGATTAATTTATATAATATTAATACTTAAAAAATCAGATATCACATTTTAAAATAATAAATTAAAAAAACGCAAAAAATCTTAATCAAACAAATTAAAAGTATCAGAAAAAAATAACTGAAGAAAAACTAAAAATTTATAGTCAACAAGAAAAGGTTATAAAATATTCGTACTCTTTAAATGACAATTAAAATTCGATTTCATATATTTAAATTTTTTTTGTTCTAGTAAAAACTTATCTTAAATATTTTATAGCACAATGCTTCCATTTGTTTACAATGATTTTAACACGCGCTGCTTTCTCAATATTTTTACATTCTATTTTTTTAAATTCAAAATAGAAAATATGTTTTCTTATTGTTCGGATCAAATGAAGGGTAAGATAAAGGTATCTGCCATCGACATATCGTGATTAATACAACAATGGGTGAGATAAATAGCGTCTTCTTATCGACGCAGAAAAAGTTTTTTTTAAAAATCATTTATCGGCAGCCATTTAAGTCTGCTGCGAGCTTTTATAGATTGCTTTGTAGTATTTTATAAATTTTATGCAGTTGTAAGAATTTTTTTGTAAGCACTGGCTATTAAACGGTTCGAAAAAATGATTTTAACTTTCTGTTTTGTCGCATGCATACTGCCCTTGGCAACATTGGCACTTGACAATGGCTTGGCGAGAACTCCACCGATGGGATGGCTATCGTGGACTCGTTTTGCATGCCAAATTGACTGTGAAAATGATCCAAAAAATTGTATTAGTGAACAACTTATAAAAGATATGGCAAATCGCATGGCTGCCGATGGGTTTAAAGACGTTGGATATGAGTATGTGAATATTGATGATTGTTGGTTAGAAAAGCAAAGAGATGCAAATGGCAAATTAGTCGCTGATAGAAAGAGATTTCCCAGTGGAATAAAAGGTTTGGCTGATTATGTTCATTCAAAAGGATTGAAACTAGGTATTTACCAAGATGTAGGTACTTCGACTTGTGCAGGATATCCTGGAAGCTACGGCCATTTTGATGTCGATGCTGCAACTTTCGCAGAATGGGGAGTGGATATGCTGAAAGTAGACGGTTGCTATGCCGATGCTAAGGAGATGGACGAGACTTACCCACAATATTCTATTGCGATTAATAAAACAGGTCGTCCTATTTTATTTTCTTGTGAATGGCCATTTTATCAAACAGCAAAAGGAATGAAACCAAACTTCACCCAGATCGCCAAGTACTGCAACATTTGGAGAAATTACGACGATGTAAACGACAGTTGGCAGAGTGTGCTATCAATTTTAAACTTTTTCATTAAAAATCAGGACGAACACGCTGCTATTGCTGGTCCAGGCCAATTTAATGATCCTGATATGCTTCTTATTGGAAACTTTGGACTCAGCTATGATGAAGAGGTTGCTCAGCTTATGTTATGGTCAGTTATGGCTAGTCCACTAATAATGTCAAATGATCTTCGGGATATAAGACAGGAATCAAGTGATTTGCTTAAGAATAAAGAAATATTAGCTGTCAACCAAGATCCACTGGGAAAAATGGGAAAACAAGTTTCCAAAAGTGGTAATATAGAAATATGGACAAGGCCAATTACTCCAGTAATTGGAAATGATAAATATTCATATGCAATTGTCTTTTTCTCTCGAAATACTTTAGGCGGGCCAACAAAAGTAACAACAAAACTCAGTGCAATTGGATTAAATTACGAGCAATGCTACACAACATACGATGTATTTGATCCGTCAAAACAAACAAAACTTTGTCCTAATGACTCATTAACTGTTCATGTTAACCCATCAGGAGCTACTATGATTATTGCAAAATGTAACTCCTCATAAAAGGAACAGTGTAAGGCTAAGGAATTTTTTTTTTACCTCTAAGAGCTAGAAATGGATTAGCTTCGAAGGATATCTTAATGATTTTTCTTTCATTTTTGTGTTTCCATATAGATCTATTAAATACTTGTAATATATACACTGTATGCAATTTTCAATGCAACATAAAAACAGAATGGTCTAATAGTTTTCTATTGTTGTCGGTACATTTTTATTAACTTGAAATAAAATGATTGAACTCCCACATTAATTTTCGTATATTTTTGGATGCTATTAGGATAAATTTATTAAATGTCGTAAATGTATCGTTTTACTCTAAAATAATTTTATATCCTTAATTTTAAGATATTTAACTGTAATATTTTTTTCCTATACTCTATTATTAAGCTTTTGATTTTGATTGTTTTATAAATAAGAATTAAAAACTAAAAGGATTTCTTCTTTATTACAATGCAATTTTATGATCTTAAATTAATAAGATAAACTCATTTAAATCGGCGTCTAAATTTTCAATTATTATTTTTTCAACTATTATAAACAGTACGAATATTATTTTGTGGCCCAAATTATTATAAATTATGGTTGAAAATATGCGCTAATGAATTAAAAGATTCGATTATCTTAAGGCAAAATTTGATGCATGTGGAAATTGCTTGCCTGTTTGGTAAACGAAAATATTAAATTACTGCTTTGCATTCTCCGAATTGGTAATAACAATATATAATTAATTTTGAATGTTATTTAGAAAATTATTGCTAAGAAAAATTATTAATGTTCAGTAATTGATCTTATTAGAATCATCAGGGAAATATTTGGTTTTGGGACTTGGGGACACAAGCGTAAGCAAATAGAATTCTTTTTAGTATATATACTTTAAGTGAATAATTTCAAACTTGGCACAAAAAATTATTTCATGCCAAGGAACAGCAATTATTGCAGCGAACAGGGAGCATAGCCTCTTAGTAATATATAATATTAATGTACTAGAGTGCCTTGTGCTTCTTTTCATTATTAAACATTCTAAAGATTTCTGTAAATATTTAAAGATTAGTAATGAGTAGGGAACATGTAAACACAAATTTCGAGTAAAACCATCTTTATTTATATTTTTGTTTGCAGTAAGTAAAATTCTGAAATTAATCATTGTTATTAACGGGTGTTATTTGAAGTATATTCTTTGGAGAAAATTTGAAGACTCTTAGAAAATTTCAAATTAATAATGTGGACTAATAAAAGCATTTGAAAATTCCAAACACTAATAATTTTTTTGTTTGCAAATAAGCTAATTCGAACTCATATTTTGTCTGTTTCGAAGAATGTTTTTAATACTTTAAAATCTCTATGTTATTGTGTTTTGAACTTGAAACAATTTTTACCTTAAATTAAAATGTGTACCCTTGTCCAGTACAGTTTGCACTTAGGGCTATTGGATCCAATTTTCGGGTTTGCGACTACCAATGTTCAACTCCGTAGCCTTGTAATTTTGAACCAATCCAGAAGACAAGGAAACTCCTGGATCAATACCCCCGAGGTATTGATTTGTTATGGGAATATGGGGGACTTTACGACTCGACAGATTTAACGTCCATCAGTCACCATTTACTACACGGTGAGTCTTCGGCCTGCGGGGATCGAACCCACGAACTCTTGGACATGGGCCCAGTGCCCTACCAACCAGGCTATCCGGCCTTGTACCTTCATGTAGGGAAAAGGAGAGTTAGTGTGGCTAGAATGGACATCTTCAATAACTTTTTTATATGTTCGGGAAATGATAATTGTTAGACTGTCCGTCTTTTTTCAAAGGTGTTCAAAATCCAGCTGGATCAATTGAATTTTTATCGCTAATTTTCTTTTATAACTAATATCTATTTAATATAATTTATATGGTTGATAACTTCTTAATATGTTTTATTTAATTTTAATTTATAAGTTATTTTTAATTTTAATTTATAATTTTTTAAAAAACAAAAATTAACAGTATTTGTTTTTTTATTGACAATGCATGGGTTATTTAAAGAAAAATTAGATAATGCAAAAAAGAAATGCAAAATGTTAGTTTGAATTTCAAATTACGCATTTTTCCAAAAAAAAAAAAAAAAAAAAGAGTGCNTCTTATACTCTATTATTAAGTTTTTGATTTTGATTGTTTCATAAATAAGAATTAAAAACTAAAAGGATTTCTTCTTTATTATAATGTAATTTTATGATCTTAACTTAATGAGATAAACTCATTTAAATCGGCGTCTAAATTTTCAATTATTATTTTTTCAATTATTATTTTTTCAACTATTATAAACAGTACGAATATTATTTTGTGGCCCAAATTATAATAAATTATGGTTGGAAATATCCGCTAATGAATTAAGAGATTCGATTATCTTAAGGTAAAATTTGATGCATGTGGAAATTGCTTGCCTGTTTTGTAAACGAAAATATTAAATTACTGCTTTGCATTCTCCGAATCAGTAATAACAATATATAATAAATTTTAAATGTTATTTAAAAAAATATTGCTAAGAAAAATTATTAATGTTCAGTAATTGATCTTATTAGAATCATCAGGAAAATATTTGGTTTTGGGACTAGGGGACACAAGCGTAAGCAAATAGAATTCTTTTTAGTATATATACTTTAAGTGAATAATTTCAAACTTCGCACAAAAAATTATTTTATAACAACAATTATTGCAGCGAACAGGGGGCATAGCCTCTTAGTAATATATAATATTAATGTACTAGAGTATCTAGTGTTTCTTTTAATTATTAAACATTCTAAGGATTTCTGTAAATATTTAAAGATTAGTAATGAGTAGGGAACATGTAAACACAATTTCGAGTAAAACCATCTTTATTTATATTTTTGTTTGTAGTAAGTAAAATTCTGAAATTAATCATTGTTATTAACGGGTGTAATTTGAAGTGTATTCTTTGGAGAAAATTTGAAGACTTTTAGAAAATTTCGAATTAATAATGTGGACTCATAAAAGCATTTGAAAATTCCAAACACTAATAATTTTTTTTTGCTGCAAATAAGCTAATTCGAACTCATATTTTGTCTGTTTAGAAGAATGTTTTTAATTCTTTAAAATCTCTACGTTATCGTGTTTTGAACTTGAAGCATTTTTTACCTTAAATTAAAATGTGTACCCTTGCCCAGTACAGTTTGTACTTAGGCCTATTGGATCCAATTTTTGAGTTTACGGCTACCAATGTTCAACTCCGTAGCCTTGTAATTTTGAACCAATCCAGAAGACAAGGAAACTCCTGGATCAATACCCCCCGAGGTATTAATTTGTTATGGGAAAATGGAGGACTTTACGACTCGACAGATTTATCATGCATCTGTCACCATTTACTACACGGTGAGTCTTCGGCCTGCGGGGATCGAACCCACGAACTCTTGGACATGGCCCCAGTGCCCTACCAACCAGGTTATCCGGCCATGTACCTTCATGTAGGGAAAAGGAGAGTTAGTGTGGCTAGAATGGCCATCTTGAATAACTTTTTTATTTGTTGGGGAAATGATAATTGTTAGGCTGTCTGCCTCTTGTCAAAGATGTTGAAAACCCAACTGTATCAATTGCATTTTTATCGCTAATTTTCTTTTTTAGCTAACTAATATCTATTTAATATAATTGATATGGTTGATAACTTCTTAACATGTTTTATTTAATTTTAGTTTATAAATTATTTTTCTGGAAAAAATTAAATTTTTTAAAAAACAAAAAATAACAGTATTTATTTTTTTATTGACAATGTATGGGTTATTTAAAGAAAAATTAGATAATGCAAAAAAGAAATGCAAAATGTTAGTTTAAATTTCAAATTACATATTTTTCTAAAAAAAGAAAACAAGCATAGTATATTTAAAAAATAAAAAAATCTGTAAAATTTTTGTTTTTAAAATTTTAGTTGTTTTAAAAAATACCTTAAATTAGAGAAAATAATGATTTATAAATTGAATAAAAATATTAAATAATTATTAGTCTTTTAAGAAAAAATAAGAGATAAATTTTTATTTGACCCAGCTGGGATTTTATTTGACCCAGCTGATGGAAAATGAAGAGCCTAACTATTACACCACAAATATATCACTGACTGGGAAGTTTCTGTTAGTCTAATAATAAATAAATTGAACTTTTAATGGGGCATATTTTTTTCGCTAGGAGCAGGTCTGGAGACTAATTTGTACTCTATCCAAGGTTTTCAAACATGCTTTTTAATTTTAGCTTAGCTTTGTTTTAATATGAATTTTCGAGGCGCGTACTTCCCTTGTAAGCCATCCACTTTGTGTGTTTTCCATTTGGATCATTTCCTCAAATCAAAAATGTTTCCGTACTTTCAAATAAATTAAATAAAATAATTATCTTCAAATAAATCGAATTGCTTTCAAAATGTCTTTCTTAGTAAGTGAAATGCTTTATTATTGGTATTTTAATTCTAAATATGTCAATATTTAATCGCCAACAAGGCTTAGATTGAAATTGATTTCATTTTGGCTTTAGATATAACTTTCTGATTTGTTATCAATGAATATTTTATTAGCTATCAAATTCATCCGAAATAGCTTGTCCACATTAGTTTCGTATAAAGGGCTAACGTGGACAAGAACTATATTTTAAAAAAATTATTATGAAAAAACTAAACAACTTCGTAATTCCAGATATAATCCATGATGCAGGTAATTGAGGTAATTGTTTAAAATATTGTTAAAAAATTTTCGTGAGTTAAAAATTATATTGAATATGTTTTTTTTTCGATAAATTCGTAAAAATTTTCATATTATCCCCCTTCTTCTTTACTATTGTTATTCATTGCATCCAGAATCCTTCTCAAAACATTTATCTCGTAGATAGCTAATCTGTTTCATTTGATTTCGTCATAAGTTTGTGAGCTATATATGAGCACAGTTCCATTGATCATTTTTTTCTTTATTTACACTGATTTGTGATACATGTGGTATAAATTGCAAATCTTTTCTGAAAATTCAGAAATTTTAGAAAAATGTTCTATTTTGAAAATGTTTTGAAAATTTCTTTTGAGAAAGTTTTAAAATCATTATTTTTTAGCTAAAATAACGATTTAATTTGACATTTTCATTAAAAATAGCACTTATACTGTAAGTAAAAGTAGGTATTACAACACAGAAGGTAGGCACAAAAACAAAAGTTTAGCCACATTACATTTGTTACTTGTAATGGAAGTAAAAATATTGTTATACATACCCAAAACTACTACATAAAGG